CTTCTGTCAACCTTCAACTTTCGAACATGGAACTTACCCACACCATCGGTATTCGTCTAAATTGCTCAATCACCCACCCTCACATCTGTTTAGACTGTAACTCGCCCGTCGACAAGAATTGAAGACATAGTTTACATGTCGCTCCTGCAATGGTCCATTCATTAGACACAGGCAATGCAATTCAATCATCCAACACGCCTTGAAATCAGCACAAATCCCATCCATACTTGCACCTCGGGGTCTTTTAACATCTGATGGTAAACGTCCAGACGGCATCACTCGAATTCCGTGGAGGAGAGGCCAATTATTAGTATGGGACTTTTCTTGTATTGACCCCCCTTGCCCCATCTAACCAGACACTCAACATCATAGACCAGAAGGAACAGCTTAAACCCTCGAAATACACAGAAATTTCTAATGACCATTGTTTCATTCCAATTATTTCAATGCCACCTTCGGCAAATAGGATCTCAAATCAGCAAACATTAGGAAGAACCTCGAGAGGGTTTTTTTCTACGACAAAGGCTCGCCATGGCAATCCTTAAAGCCAACTATATCAAATTCAATGGTAGTCTAATAGCCAAAGAGCCATCCTAAATCCATTTTTTTCTCTCTCATTATACCATTCCCGTTCTTCATTGGTATTTTTAAATTATTATATACATTTGATTTTTAATTCAAATTTATGTGATTTGAATTTGGAATTTTCATATATATATTTTTTTTTTAAAAGCCAGTTTTTTATATACATTTACAATATGTGTTTTCTTAATAATTTATATATTATTTGTAATTGATATTTTTTATATTGAATATTGAATTTCCTTTATGCGAATTTATTGGATGTTTTATGAAATGTAAATTTTTCAAATTTTAATCATAATTTTAACTTGATTCTTTGGTTTTATATCATCGAAAAAGGTAGCCATTGAATTCATTTCAAAATAATATAAAATTAGCGCTTAAATTTAACATTTTAAACTAAATTCACCAAAATCTGTATTTAACGAAGCACTATTTCAAAATCACGCGATAAACACAAAAAATCGCGGCGATTTGCGACTCAAATCGCGTGGTCGGTAACCATGAATGCGATATGATATTTACTGTATTTTGTATTTATCGCGTCTAAATCGCAATCGCGCCACTAAGAATTCAGAGGGTGATTCTCTAAGAAAGTTAGTGTTGTTAAATAACGGCTCGCTTTTGGTGGCGATTTTTAAAAGCGGCTAGCTCAATATTTTAGCCAGAAAAATATTGCTCTGAGCCTCAAAATTTTACTGAAAGGTAGTCGTGACCTTTGTGGTCATCTATGAGCAAACTCTTCAGGCTCACGCAATATTATTCTGGATAATATGTTAAGTTAGTCATGTTTAAATAGACCCAAACCGAGCTGTTTAAAATTACTAAAGAAAATGTATTAGTTGAATTATAGGATGGGATATTTAAAAATGCCGCCTAAATGAAGCACCACACCACGTGACAATTTTAAAAATTTATACTTTCATCCTTTGGAATAGCTCTATGTGGGTTCATCAGGAATGGTAAGCTCTGAGTCTTGCTTTTCCATATTGCTAAACATAACTTCCTAATACTTATATACCTGATATGCCGATTGGCTAATAAGGTATACGCCATTCGATACTACTTGTATCTAGTAGGGCTGTTGGCTTACTATTTTTGTATTATTTCATAATATTATAGTATAAGTTTAACCAATATTTTACTCTATATTGTATTGGCAAAATTATTATTCATAATTTATAAGAAATATAAATCATTATTATATTATGTTTATTGAAATAAGACTCTTGATTTCTGAAAAAATAAATTTCATATGTTTCAAAAAGGGTATAAGTAGGATGAAGCTACTTATTTTAAGAAAAGTTTTCTTAGAGTCATAATTATTCATTTATTTTCTGTATCCCTTTGACTTCAATTACGATACTTACAGTTACAATTAAGATATCTTAAATACGATGATGATTATCGCGCGGCCGATATATATTTTTGCGGGTAAAAAAGATAAAATTTAAATTTTTTAAAGGAGATATTTTTTTTTGGCGCCGTTATCTCCCAAAAAAATTAATCCAAAAATTTCGAGTACAAATAAATTTCTAAAAAAAATATAAAATATTTGTTATTTAACGAATTTATTTTTGTTGAATAATATTAGTAGGGATGTACCGATACTTTTATCGGATCGGGCCGATATTTCATCCATTTTGAAATACCGGTTATCGGATATTGTAAAATTTTCCAATCCGATCCCATAAAAAATGGACGTTTTTAACAAAAATAAGTACGGGCCGGCCCGGGTATATTTAAAAAATTAACCCAAACCGGGCTTAGAACCGGGTCTGCAGGTCTTTGAAAAAACCATTTATTTTTGTAAATGAAATCGAAATATAAGTGTGTGCCAGCGGGTGATCATCCCATATCATGCCTTTTATTACTAGGATATGTTATAATTTGTAGATACTGTAATACCTGTGTTAGAGAAGTGAAGTCCTCTTTTAGATATGGAAGGAGAATGTATTTACAATAGATGTAAATGATATGTTTAATGAAAATAGTGATTTGAATTGGTAGTATATTATTTAGTTGATCCGCTATTCCTGGTAGACACAGTGGCACTACGATTACAACAATTTTCATTAGGTTAAGCGAGAGTTATTCATGCCACCAGATTTGACAATATGTCATTAAGAAGGCATATATAAACGATATAATATTTTTAGATATTGTTAATTGATAGACTCAGTACCAAGAATAATTAATGCAGGATCTTTGGGAATTGTCACTATCAAAGAGAAGAGATCAGGGCTAGATAATAAATATATTACTTATTCAAATGCAATATATTTTACATTATATTTTTGGGACAGATTCTCCTTCCATTATCTAAAAGAGGACTGTAACCTTGGTGTTACAGTATCTACCAGGAATAGCATATCCTGATAGTATGGCCAATGTGGTGACCAGCCTCTGGCCATCTTTTGAGCTTGCTCAGTATGAGCCGCTCTATCATGAAAAAATCTATCAAATTTTTTTCCAAAGAGATTTAAGGAAGGATACTAAAATTGGTTACGTAAAATATAATATATATGGCGCCTATTTTTTTTACCAGTCAAACCTACTCGTGAGCCAATATGCCCCATATTTTTGTTTTTATAACATTTTTATATAAGTTATTATGTGATCTTTAACAGATTGAATAAAAGCCAATTTATTAAAAGATCATAATTTTAACTTGATTCAAAGGTTTTTATATCTTCAAATAATTTAAAATTACCTCCAAAATGTAAATTACTATATATTTCACCTAGGGCCTGTAATTTAAACGAATAAACATTTCAAAAATTTTTAGCTTTTGGTTTCTCAATGGCGGCTAACGTCGCGCTATCGGTAACTTTAAACGCGATACGATTATTTGCTGTATGTCGCATTTATCGCGCTCTAAATCGCGTAACGCGTTACTATGGATTCAAGGTTTGTAGTTGTATATAATAACACATTGCCGAAAAAAAATAGATTGATGTTAATTTAATTCTAATTATATATCTATAAAGAAAAATTTAATTATAAATTTTATAATGCTCACAAGAAACAATATATTATTAAAAAATTAATATAAAAGGGTAAATATTGATAGATAACCTCATAATATATTTTTTTTTATTTGCTAATTTTTTAAAGTTTTTATTTACTCAAAAAAAAACTCCACAGGGAAAAATTGAGGTTTAAATACAAATAAAAAAAAACCTTATGTTTGGTTAATAAATAAAAAATTTTTTTATATATATATATAAATTTATTTTCCTCCAGGTAGTTTTTTATTATATTATTTAAATTTGTGAATCCTACTACCCCACTCCAATCTCGTATAGGATAAAAATGGCGGTACATAAGTTTGAGAGGGGCGTGTAATCGAATTTATCTGGTCGAAACGGATTTTTTTTCCCGGGAAAATTATCCTAATTCAAGTGCACTCCCCACTCACCCCATCTTCCTCCCCCGTTCGTCGTTGGTTCTATAATTTCTCCGATTCCGCATCGAGCTGAATCCTTTGCCCATTCCATCCCATATAATTCACCAATTCCATATCTATTCCAGCAATATTAATCCGTCGCGAACTCCTGGTGGAATGTATAATTGGAAGAAGGAAGGGAGAAACACTATTTTTCTAGTTTGTTCCATATCCTTTATTTTGTATTTAATTTTTTTTTAAAATATAACCCGGGTCGAGCCTAAAAACCGTTTTTTAAAATACCCGGGCCGGGCCGAAAACAATCCGAGCCGGGTTGTGTAAGTGATACCTTCTTGCAAGTCATCGAAAAAATGTAAAATTCCATTTTTACTTTGCTTTTTATCTTTTTCTTTCTTTTTTTTTTAATAATGTATTTCATTCTTTTCTCTTCTTTTTGTTTTCTATGTAATTTATTTATTTATTTATTTTTCTTCCAATTTTAATCATTTATTATATTATATTATATATTCTTTTAACAATCCAAATTTAAAATTTATTTAATCTCCCCAACCATATTCCTTTTTAAGGCGAACTTTCAAAATTTATATTTATTTTTCTAAAAAAAATGATTAATAAAAACGAAATAATTGCATTTTTAAATTTTAATTTTTTTTATGGGTTTTTTTGTTGTTGTTGAAAACAAAGGAGAGTGTTTTGGAATAATTAAGAATATAAAAAAATATCTTTGAATGGCACCAATCACATCACTAAATTTTCTATATGTTTAATTTTGATGAATTGTCTGGAGGAGGGGGAGGGGGGTTTAAATTCGAATAATTTATGGCAGATCAAGCTATTAACGATTTTCGGGTATAGACCGATCCGTTTAGTTATCCCGGTCAGGTCTAGTCCGTGGGTTTGGGCCGCGCATGTCGCTAACCTCCGCCATAAAAAGTGCGCAGAATTTATTTTGCACTTTGAAACTATATGTAAAATATACTCCTATATTTATTTTGTTTTTCGATTTTAGTTTTACGCCGAATTCAGAAGATTTTCGGTAAACCGCCTCAAACTCAACAAATTCCTCGATTTCAGGGACTTGGTCCTGAAGTCCTTCCGCCTCTCCTCCATACCCTTCACCATCTGCTACACCGACCCGTTGCACGGCGACTTGTTGCCCATAAACAACGACGAAAATTTCGCGAAAGCTCTCTCCTCCGTCGTGTCCCACAACGCGTTACTGAGGATCATCTTGCAGAGATTGGGTAAAAAGGGTTTTGAATCGAATATATCCGATTTTTGATTGGTCTATTTTCTATTTTATTTTATTTTTTTTTTAAAAAAAAATTTGATTGGCAGGTCGATTTATTTTCTAAAACATAGTTTTTTTTGATAATAACTCAACTTTTGTCATTCATTCCCTTATCATACTTAAAAAAAATGATTCAAACTTAAATTATACATATATAAAATATTTTTTTTTGACAATAATAAAAAATCGAATATCTTATATATAAAGGTTAAAAAATGATTTTTTTTAAAAAAAATCAATAATTATTCCCCACTTTAATGGGATCCAACCAATCGATTGATGATATCGGGTTATTTAAGAATCATTTAAAATCAATCATATTTGAAAAAAAACCAAATTTAACCAAGGTAAGAGATAGAAAAAAGTGTCAATTTTTAAATTTTTAGCCTAAAATAAATATTTCATTCTCCAATTTTGTTCTTATAACAAAATACCCCCCCCCCCCCTTGTCGAAATTGTTATTTCTTGTCAACCATTAAAGTGGCCTTTTTTTTACGTTTTGGATAGATATTCTATAAAAAAAATTCGAAGGGAATGTTTGGTAGGTTAGGGAACGAGGGTGTTTGCGCCCAGCTAGACGAATAACGAATCTAAATGACACGTGTTATAATTGAAGAATTAAATTTGACGGAACCAAATTATTCGATCGACGAACGAGATCTTACTCATTCTAAGTCTTCCTCGAATCGCCCTATAAGAATACTCCAAAATTCTCATCCATTCATTCATCTTAATTTTAATTTATTTTTTTTTACAAAATAAAATGGCGGTTTATTATTATCATTCATTTTTTTAAAAAAAAATCAATCTTATAATTACTATCTTATTATAGGAAGGAAAAAAAATTTTTTATTAAGAGGGTTGATATATTTTTTTTAAAAAAAATTAAAACTTTTATATAAAATAACCGAAATTATGTAATAAATATAATTATACGCTATTTTTTTTTATATTTAACGTTAAAGTTGTAGGGGAGGGGGGGGGCAGAGGTTAAAATAATACAAAATTATTAACATTATTTTTAAGATGATGATAAGGAAAAAAACGTTTGACAGTCTCGCATTTGCGGAGAACTCAATATTTCACCCAGAAAATATACCACGTAAGCCTGAAACAAAGGCTCTAGACATATGCGAAATCTCAAGGCTTAGGCAATATTCTTCTGGCTAAAATATTGAGTTGGCCGTTTCGAAAAATCGGTTCATAACGAGCCGTTTAACAACACTATAGCGGATATTTAATAGTGTTGTTATATACGGCTGACTCGAATATTTTAACCCGAAATTAAAAAAAGATATTGACTTTGAACCTCGAGATTTTTTTTGCTAGTCAAATGTTCCCGAAACCGTTGCGCCAACTCACGGGAAAACTTTTCGGGCCCACGTGATATTTTAACCGGAATCAAATATTGAGTCTGGCCGTTTTTTTGTGAAAAATTCTGCTCTCATATCGAGCCGTTTAACTTAGCACTGTTAGATGATATCTTACGCGATGACATGTGAATAGTACCTAGACTGGCGATGCATTTGTAAGCGTAGTTGAATGCAAATCAGCTGGACCCGCCATTTTGGTAACCGATATAGTAATCGTTCTCACGTTTAAAAAAAATAACTATTTAAATTGATAAACAGCTTTCATTTTATTATCTTTCTATAATCAGGCGATTCCTTAAAAAAGTTCTCGTCGGATCATAGGAAATAAATTGGCCGCTCCGTTCAAAATTATTTTTAAAAATAATGATTACGCGTAATCAAAATGGCGTCCCCAGCTGTTTTTCATCCAGTGCGTTATCATGGTGTGCACCGTCTGTTTAGGTATTATTATATGTCATTGGTTCCTTGTTGCAAAATTAAACCCTTTATTAGGGCAGTAATTATAATTATGTCTATTTTCTTGAATTTTTTTTTTAAAGTTTCTATATGATAAAATATTTTTTTTAACGTATTTTCGTAAAGTTGGTGGGTGGGTTAATCGTTCGATTTTTTTTAAAACCGTTTAACGGGGGCTAAAAAAACAACAGTTAAAACTTTATTTCTAGCCGGAAACGCTAATCTCCACTTTGGGGTGTAGCTTTTTATTTTATTTGCGAACATGGCTCGACCTTCAAGATACCGGAAATAACTTAACGCGCGCCTTCAGTGTTTAGCCAATTTTCTTCGGCGCGCGTTTTTGGATAGAACCGAGTAAGGCGATTTTTTTTATAGCCAATTACCTCATCCGTACTTATGATTGGTTAATCCTTTCTTTCTTTTTTTAATGATGGAAATGATGTTTCGTAGAAAATTTTAAGATTTTCAAATTCGTGACACAAATCCTTCATTTTTTTCGAGATTATTAAATGATTCTACTATCCGAGATCAAGAAGAGCTCCGCCTCACCTCCTAGCATAGATGTTATTTTTCTTGACTATAACTCTCACCTCTCATTCGTAGATATTTTTAGAAATGCTCTGAGTGACATTTTTATATAAGCGCCGTTTCTTAAAACGCCGAGAATTTTAGCAGATTATTAAAACGCTGAGAATTGCCTCCGATTCTTAAAACGCTGAGGAACGCTGAAAAATATGAAAACGCTGAGAATTGACGCCGATTCCTAAAACGCCGAGAATATTCGCAGATTGTTAAAACGCTAAGAAAAAACGCTGAATATATGTGCTCGATTGTTTAAATCGCTAAGAAACGCTGAAAATATGTGTTTGATTGTTAAAAACGCTGAAAATATGTGCCTGATTGTTTAACGTTGAGAATTGGCCACGATTTTTAAAACGTCGAGAATATTCGCAGATTGTTAAAACGCTAAGAAAAAAACGCTGAATATATGTGCTCGATTGTTTAAAACGCTGAGAATTGGTAGCGATTCTTAAAACGCCGACACATTCCCTGTTCAGATTATTATTTTTTTTAAAAAAGGATTCTTTAAAATAATGATTGAACGTTAAACTTATTTAAAATATGCTTTTTACGATTATTTTATCATGTAATATGAATTTTTTTTTTGAAGGTAAAGAAAAATTTGAGATCATGGGGGAAAAAAAATTTCCTTACCTTGAATAATAATATTTAAAAGTTAATTAAATTTTATTCCTTAAAATAAAAAGGAAGTTTATCAGAAACTTGCAAACCCGGTTCTGGTATTCGACCCGAGTCGGCCGGATTTATGATTTTAAAAATCCGGGCGATTAAACGATCAAATTATATCGGCAAGCTGACCGAGAATCACGTGATATATTATCAAGCGTCAATCAGAGCCGGGAAAAAACTTCCTACTGAGCCATTTTAAAAAAGAAGAAAAAAAATTGTCGAGGCTGGGTCGGACTTTTTATAAATCGGTAAATTTTTCCATATCCCGACCGTGCCCGAAAAGGGTGATTCGCAGATCTCTGATATTCAATTTAGCAATTACAATTTTATCTTTAAATCACCCCTTTTTCCTTTTTTTAGATAAAGATTTGTTCATTTAAATTGTGTGGAATTCTATAAACAACGTCTTATATGGAATAATAATAATAGCATTTTGTGTTACATTTATAAAATAATTATTTTAAAACTTTTGCTTTCTTTTCTTTCTTCCTTTCTTTCTTTCTTTCTTTCTTTCTTTCATTTTGAAATATAAATTATTAATTGTTTATACGAAAAGTTCTAGAAAAAAAATAGAACCGACATAGTTCTATGAATTGGTGAGAGGTTTCGATTTATTCTGCGTCTACATAAAATTCTTGACTCCATTTTTCTGGCGGAATCAACCATGGGTCTCGTGACTGAATTTACCTATGAGAATTGCCCAAAATCTTTTAGATTTTATCCCTCCCCCTTCCAATTACCGTGGATACTGACTAGGTATTGACGAAGAGGGTATTTTCTTAGGTACCTGACACATTTTTAGAGCCCTGTGGGTTCTGACCATTGGTTGGTTCTGAATACGCCACCTCGTTCTTAGATAACTTGACAAACTTTGACGCCTGCGCATCAAAAAGACATTTAAAAAAAGGAGCTATCCCATGTTTCATAGTGGGTCCATTTAAAACAATCGATATGCCAAATGTCGGTTGGCTTGCTTTTTTATCTCCACTAGGAAAAAGACAAGCTCACCAAACATGGATTAATCCTGTTATTTTTCGCGTAATAAACAAAAAACATAGAATTCTCTTTAATATGTCGAAAAAACAACGAAGTCAATTACTTCTACTGTCATTCGTCATTTCCCACATATTTTTCCTAAAAAGAAAGGTGACCTAGCAAGAGTACATTTTTGGGGGATTCGCGTCTGAACATAAGTTCGGAACAGACTTGTTAAAAAGATACTTTTTTTTAAATGTAGCTAGATACATAAGTGTTTTTTATATACTCTGGGTGGAAGATCCCTAAATATCAAACCTAATATAAATTCACCGCCGATTTCATTTATTTACCTTAACCCCCCCCCCCCCCCGATCTTACACCCATTTTTTTTTAATTTCGAAACAATCCATTTAAATGAAAATTAATTTGGTGCCATAATTAAAAGGAAATAAAAGAAAATCATATGTTCCTTGCTTGGAGGTTCCATTATTTAAAAAAAAAACGAAATAGGAATATTTACTAAGGTGAAACACCACCAACTTACCCCGGCCAACACTGACCCCACCACATTTCCCGAATTCGTATCTTATAAATTATATTAAAAAAAAATTTGTTCAGTGAAAAAACATTTCTTGTCAAAATAATTGTTCGGGTAATTTTCATATTTTGGACCGAACCGATAATTTGTCCCAAATTTATTCGGGCCGTTACTATCCGAGCCCGAAAGTTATTGAACGGGCGGGGTCTCTATGATCTCTAATATAAGCTGACCACAAACATTTCCCTTTAAAATCCCTCCCTAATAGCATAATATAATATTTTTTTTCAGAGGAAGACCCGGGTCAAATAATCGGTTACGGCAATCCGCCGAACGCCAACAAAAAGAAAAACAGGCTGAGCCAGTACTTGCTCAACGTTCCCAGCTATCTTTCCGAGAAAAACGGAGCGCCCTTTTGTGGCTCCCCTCTGCACCATCATCAAAATCACCACGCTCTTCCTAACGCGTATAATAACGGCGGTGATGCCTATCAACAACACGGTAGCGTGGTCGTCTATAACGGCGGTGTCCCTCCTAGCGGGGATAACGGGAGTTTGCCTAAAAACGGTTTTATTTTTTTTTTAAAAAAACACAAACGATAATGAGCTTAGTTGTGTAGTACCTAAAAATATAGAACGAACTATTTCCTAACACAAAACTCATCGATCCACAGATACAAATATATAAAACTGTGTTTAAGAGATAATCCGGATTAGAGATGTATCGACACTGAGTATCGGTATCGGCTAGAAAGGGTGGAATCGGTTCGTCTCTTATCCAAATTTCTGGTTGAGCAATGAAATAAGGATTTTTATTATATAAATTATAAAGGAAACTTATTTATGTGCCCCTCCCCCCTTCTCATAGGTGCTCAAAGCAATAAAACTCACCAACAGAATTCTCACAATCCTGGCATCCCAACTCCTGTTACGTCTAATGCTACTATCGTGAACCATTCCATTCTAACACCGCTCAAGGAAAGCTTGGATCGGCTCAGTGATCCTCACTACAAGTAGACAAAGAAACAACACAAAATATAGCGATTTTTCATAATTTTTCGATTTTAATTTTGCGCGCGTATATGTCGTCATAAGGGTGTCATTTTTAAAAAAAATGGCGGGGTAATTAATTAATTTGCAACTTCTGTTTTTTTTCTAGTAAAATCTTTTTATGCGATTTATGAAAAATATAAGTGAAAATGGCCACCATCACATCCCGGCATTTCCGAATCAGAGACCTCTCATAGGTAAACCTCTGGATTTCCGAACAGTATCCTCCATCATAGACGTCGATCTGGTACCGGAAACCCAAAGGAGGGTGCGGTTGGTTAAGCCGAAAAAACCTCTAAAAAAAGATGGCGTTAACAAAGAATTTAACGAGCCAGGTTTATTTTATTTTTAAAAAAATACCTTTTCTTCCTTTAACTCATTTTATTCGTGTAATTCGTAATTATTATTTTCGCAGATACGCATTTTTATTTCGACGATCGTCCCCTGGGATTTTATATCCGCCAGGGTTGGGCTTGTCAAATATCTTCCTCCGGCCTCACCCGTCTCGCCACTATATACGTATCGCGTCTCGTTCCGGGCGGAATCGCTGCCGCCACAGGTCTGCTAGCCGTGGGAGATCAAATTTTGGAGGTATATATTTTTATGTTTTGTTGGCTTCTAATCTATTTCCGGAAAACAATTCCAAAATAGATCAGAGCTAACAAATAGTTTAAAATGAAATTTTGGGGCGAATCCTTATATATTATGGAATTATTAAATGCGGAGTTTCCTCGTGGTATACATAAATTTTGTAAACAAATAAAAAGTTTATTTTTATTTTTGAACTAATGATTTTGGAAACAAATAGCAAATGGCATCGATGTTAGGAAAACGTTGTTATTTCTTTCTTATTTTTTTAATTTTGATTCGTTTAAAAAAAAGGTGAACGGCGTTCCCACCGACGGTAAAAGTTTGGACCAAGTGACGGATATGATGGTCGCCAACGCGAGCGACTTAGTTTTAACCGTTAAACCCGCCGACCAGAGCAGTACCCTGGTGAAAGCTAGGGGACTTCCTAAGGGGTATAACGGTTCTATAAGCGAAAAGGAAAATTGTGGCGCCTACAAAACGAGCGAGGAGAGACGAGAAGAAAGAAGTAGGTCCAACTGGGCCGAGAAAAATGGCACCCCTTTAGTCGAAGCCAAACAGCGGGAAACGTTTAGCGGCAATTCGGGGAACCGTCGCGATGCTAACATTGAAGATAGGAGGAGAAGCAACCTCGGCAAAATTGGGTGGAAGGACGATTTACGTCCATCAAATAACCATGCCAATCAAAATATGGAGTGTAAAGAAGAAAAACGAATCTCTCCCCAAAATAATCTCGACCCTGAACAAATCAAAAAGGCCGCTCCCGCTAAACTTAAAGCTGTAGCGCCTTCCCCTCAACACGAAGATTCTAAGAGGGACGACTACTACCTAGCGTTGAACGGTAGTCCGCCGCCCATTCCGCCTAGACCTTCCTTGCTCCTTAGACAGAGACGCCCCCATAACACCAATCAAACACACGTTCCAGTCAGCCGATCGCCACAACGCATCGATCAAAAAGGTGATTTCGAGGCGGCACTACCCACTCCACCACCACGGAAAAAGGCTAACGATTTTGCTGGTGAGAAATTTTTAACAAAAAATCAATTAACTATATATGAAATCAAACCTTGATAATTAATTATGATGACTTGACATAATTTTATCAGACATGTCACCTGTCTTTAATTGTAGTATATTTATACATATACATAAATGTTTCTGGCTTCTGACTCGTCTTAATTTTTGTTCTTACGCTGCATTTATAGTAAGCGCGAATCGCTCTAGCGATGCTAAATTAGTCGCTAAGCGGAATTATCTCAGCCATAATACTTTTCGAAATATACTCAAGGGAGCTGTCGCGATTTCATTAATTTCGCTTAGTATTTTTACATCTATTATTGGCTTGATTATGTAAATTACGCATCGCTTACGCGAATTACAGTTACTATAAATTCATCCTTAATACTGAATAAAGCATCTATCCAGAAAATGCCGGTAAAAGATACGCGCTTTTGTTTTATTTTAAATAGAGAACTTTGACCTAAAATGTCGATTAGAATGAATGCTCTTAAAAAAAATTGAATCTAGAGGTCGTATTCTGAACAGACAGCTTCATGGATTTTTAATTTATTTGGCTGATAGAAATAAATATCAATGATTGGCACAAATAAATTTTTCCCACGTGCCCCTTTACTACTCGCTTTTGGCAGATGTCAATATTAAAGATATTGTGATATATTATCATGATAGATAAAATACATTTTATATGTCCCATGATAAGGGAGAGGTTGAGAGATTTCATTTTTAAAATTTATGTATTTCAGTTTTTGATATTTTGAAAGAGCTAAAATGAAAATATGCTTAAAAATATTTTTTTATGGGTAAATATTTAGGGTATGAAAACACAGTACTCCAAATAAAATCGTAGGTGTCTGATATATGGAGATAATATATTATTTTTGTTGGCCAAATTTTACTATATCTAAAACAACTTTATTATTAATTTTTTTATGTAAATAAAATGTTCTAAAAATGATGCCACACACTACCCCTAATCTCTCCTACATATAAATGCCAGAGGGTTGGGGGGGGGGGGGGGTTAAACTAAAAATCATTTTTTTTTAACCACGAGAATCGTATTTGAGAATGTATAGAGTGTCTTGCAGTGTTAAAAGGCTCGATTCGCGCCAATTTTCAAAAACGGCTAACTCGATATTTTATCCAGAAAAATGGCGGCGGCCATGTAAATTTTGCTCGTAGATGGCACAAAGCTTTGGACATCTTATCAGCCAAATCTCGAGGCTTGGGGGGGGTGCCTTCTCAGTAGAGAGCGATAGCAACGCGGCACGGCAAATCCCGCCAAGTTTTGTCGTAATAAACATAGAAATTCAAATTACAAAACCTTTTTGTTAAGACGCATCCACGGTAGAGAGCGACAAGACAAACGCGACACGAAATTAAGCGACAGAGCAGCTGATGTGTCGTAAGGGACAGAGCAGCTGATGTGATTAATCCTACTATAAATCGCTACATGAAAAGGCGAAGAAAAAAATAATCTGACGAAGAGGAAGGAGAGTTAGCAGTAGTGTTGTTAAACGGCTCATCGGTGTGAGATTCAAGATAGGTGGGAGATCCGATTGGAATCGATCAGAATACTTCCGGTTGGGATATCAAAAAATATAAATTAGATAAAAAAGAAGATAGCATGAGTAATAAAGTGGAGAGAGATATTGAGAGAGCTTAAAGGTGAAAGCTAAAAAGAATTAAAATACTGCGAATGCCATGACGCATTACTGCACATCAGCTGCTCTGTCGCTCAATGTCGTGTTTAGTCTTGTCACTGTCCCTCTCTACCGTGGTAAACGCGCCCTTAGGCTGCTATTTTTTTTTCTGGCTAAAATATTGAGCAGCACAACAACATTAATAACCTTCCCTTAAAATTTCAGCCCATAAAAAAAAAAAATTTTTTAAAGTGATAATTTTTATTTAACGCCGTTAACGATCGCAAGTTAAGGAAACGAGAATCACAAGTGATTTAGCTAAAATAAAATTCACGGTGATTTTGGCTAATACTTTTTAGCCTGTAATTAAAAATAAATAATAGTGGAAGAAATTATGAGAGGTGATAATTTTATTGCTATTTTTTTCCAACTCGATACTATAAAGAATAATTTGTATCTATAAGAATATTATAGATATGAATCTTCTGTATCTATAAGAATCTTCTGCATAGCGGGGGTTGTAAGGGAAGATCAAACCCCGTTTTAATCTAAAGATACGTAAAGTCCTTTTTCTCAAAAAAAAATATTTACACCTTTTTTTATATATATAGCTCATAATTTTTTATATTTATTCCAACCGTAAACAAAAACAAAAAAAAATGAGAAGGTCTAAAAATATCCGACGCTGGCCTAAATGATTCCTCCAAATTTCCCGAAACGGGCAAAATTTCCAAACATCTTTTTCGTGACCCAGGTTCGCCGAATCTCGCCAAAAATGTCCCGAATCGGACAGTGGACGATTTTTACGGGCCAGCCGATAAAAACGGTCACCGCCTTGTGGCTCGTAATGATAGCCCTGCTTCTCTGGCTGATTCTACGCGCGATAAGGGCCCACGCTCGATCGATTTAACGGCTATCAATCAAAACGATAGATATTTCGCCGAATCGCTCTTCGACGCTTCGCCTATATTCGGAAACGATAAGGTTTGTTTTTTTTTTCTCAATAAATAATTCGTGATGCAAGATTCTTAAACTATTCTTTTTATACTTGTCGTCTTTCCAGTATTATTTTGTTCTATGTCCATTTTTAGTAATTTTTAAATTTTTCCTTGGCATTTTTAAATGGGAGATACAATATTAAATAAATTATATTTTAAACATTTTTATCGGTCAGAATATAGGTTACCGAATAATTAATTTGTCGAAGCAAAAATTGTGTTTACTTAATCGACGATGTCATTCATTCATCTCATATGATATTATTATTTAAAATTGTTTATTTTTGTAAAAAAAAAATTGTTTTCTTTAATATTTATCTTATCATTTATAAATAGTCACCTGATTTTATATATCACGTGTAATTACTTTTAATTTTAGAGTTTGTGGTGTTGGTAAATTGTGTGAGTTACAAAATAGCGTTGTACTGGTACGGTTTTTTTTATAGTGTTGTAAGACGGTTCGCATTTGAGTCGATTTTTAAAAACGGCTAATTCAATATTCCATCCAGAAAAAAAGATTACGCGAACCCTGAAGATTTTGCTCATAGAAGCAACAAAGATCTAGACACATATTAACGAAATCTTGAGGCTTAGGTATAATTTTTTCTGGTTAAACATATTGAGTTAGCCGTTTTAACATCACTAGTTTTTTTTTTATAGTACATAATTTTTACAATTTTTTAACCTTAAAGATTGGTTTCACGGGAAATGTATTGGCGACGTATTATTGTTTTTCAATTAACCTCTCTTTTAAAAAAAAATGAAATAATTTGAAAGAAATTAGGTAAGCATCTTTGATTAAGGAAGTTTGCCAGGGATCCAAAAGAATTACGGGATTAACAACTTTTTGGGAGATTTTTTTTTCCACGTTATGCATATTATTATATAGTTGTTTTGTGTTGTAATATATTATCCGTTGTAGAAACCGCCACCTTCGCTCCTGCATTCCACATTGAACCTCGGTAAATCGTTTTACGAGGACGTCATGGATCACTTGAGCCAATCGGAAGAGGAGGAAGATGACGATGACGTCATGATTTATGATGTGACTAACCAAAATGTAGACCACGATAACCTCAATCATGGCGATAAATCGAATTCTGTAACCTCCGATATTCATTCCGCCAAAAGAATTTCGCCCCTGGTGGTAAAACACGGAGGATATACGGCGGAAAATGGCAAAACCAAATTAAGTGCCGAATATGGCGGCGGTGTCGTGATTCGCGGTGACAATTCCGCGAAAAATAATCAGAATTCTCAGCCCGGTCAGCATCATTATAAAAAGCGGGCCACATACTACGACGACTACGTCGCATTCAGCCACCAAGAAAACAGTAATATAAGCGACATCGACACTTTCCTGAAGTCCGCTATCAGGTTATCAGCTGTTCGGGGCATGGGGACTAATGACCCTAAGAAGTTATCGGCAATATCGAATATTTTTTCGCCTTCCCACACCAATTCCATAAATCCTTCCCTCCTTTTTTCCCCGCCTGTCAGAACTTCGGCTAAAAAACGGGCACCTAAGCCCCCTATGCTATGTTCCAAGATCTGATTATTCACAACACTCATTTTTTTTTAAAAAATAAGAAAATTTTATGTAGAAAAAGTTTTTAAAAAGACTCAGAAAACTCGAATGCTAATCACTTATGATTTATGTTTGATTGACTTGAACTATTGTCCTCAGATTTCATTTTCGCCTACGGTTGCGGAACACCGCGTGAATGAACGAATGAATTTTTTTTTATCTTTATTTCCATTTTTTTTTATTTTAAAAAAATTAAAATATTTTAGGAATTTATATGAATTATATTTATATTTTTACAAATTCGACCATCACACTTATTACGACTTATAATATAATTTATTTTAATTATTCTATTTTTTTTAAAACTTCATATCGCACGAGAAAAATAAAATTTAATTTTTTCGAATTCCCTATCACCCCCCCCCCCTTCCAACCTCCCGAATTTTATACGATTCGCTTACACGTTGTAAACTTTATATATATATATATAAGTATTCAACATTTATTTTCAATTTAACGTAAAGGAAATTAGAAATTTTTTCAAAATAATTATTAAAAATTTAATTTAATACAATTTTTTATTTTCGTTTTCTGATTCTTCCTAAGTTGACACGCGCTTATCAATTTGGACAGTTGTTTGTTTAGTCTCTGGCAATCCAAAGAAACGCACCATATTTTTTTTTGAAGAGATATCTAAGATATCTTAAGGATAAAACTCCTAGAAAAAAAATAATAATCTGATTATTATTAAATTTGTTTTTTATTATTTCGCTATGAGTTATAACCCCCCAATGTTTTATTTATCTTTAAAATGAGTTTTCTAGACAATAAATTTAGGGGGGGATTTATATTATATTTCCGATTTCTAACAGACAAAATACACAACGAAAAAAAAAATATATATAACGTTTATTATTATTAAATAATATATTTTTATTTTTTATATTATTATTTATTTTAATTATTAATAAAATATCAAAATAAATTCAAATAAAATATGAATTTATATTTTAAAATTGATTGCGTAATTTTGATTGGGCGGTGAAAAAATTGGCAACCGATTGGATAGCCCATAAAACGTTAGGTCGTTTTAGGGGGAGGGATAATGATACGTTTATTGACTAAATAACGATAAATTTTTTATAGTAACCCTAACTAACCCCATATCATTCTAATCTTTTCTTAAGGCATCCAAGAGATTTGGGTTCAAGTAATTTATGTCCCTGATGCAGGAGATTGAACCTTGATGTGTAGCGCCTCTTCATCCGGTCTCTGAACCACAGCTGTCATTCAAAAGATGAGAATTATTATTGTTTAAAAGAATAATTTAAGACGTTACCTAACAAAAAAAATAATTTTTTAAAGATATAAAATACCAATAGTGTCCGCGACGCTAAATTTCATATTATAACACATGTATAAATCAAAAATATGAAAGTGGGGTTCAAAGGGTTATTAAATGCCAATCATTTTATTTTATTATTTTTTGTAAATAAAAAAAGGGAATTATTTTTAAATAAATAACAATTCGAAAGATAGATGGCGTTAAAATACGAAATTGTAAAAAAGTATCTATCAATCTTTCAAAACCGAATTATTTTTTATTATTAAAACATATTTTTCTTAAACAGAATAGAAGGTCGATTTGTAATTATATGTGAAAAATATAATAACGTATCTTTTACCGTGTGTCATCAAAATAAAATCATAGCAGACCTATAATTGGTCTACATTAAAACACTATTAATAAAATCTATTTATTTTTTATGATTTAATTTCAAAAGTTGCTTGATATTTTTTTATATTAATCATCATGTTTAATTTAATAATTAATAATTGGAAAATTCGCACGCGTGATTTTAATCAAAATTTATTTTAGATGATTTTTATTGGAAAGAACTAATCGACATGTCAAATTTTGAGTAATCTTAACTAGAGGTGGGTAAACGGGCCTAATTTTTCACTCACGGTGGCAAATAAAAAAATTCACGCTTTTACTATTAAATCAAATTTCGACCCGACCTGTCCGCTAACGAATGGCGATATTTTGATTTAGGCCCGTCATGCCCCAAAAATTCGATGTTTTTTTTTAAAAAAAATTTTCGAAACTAAGAAAAATGTCTATATTTTTTTTTATTTCAATTTTCTACTCTTTTCTTCTAATAAGAGGTTGGGCTGAAGAAAAAAACTTTCACTAGAAGCAGAATTTTACCTGGGCTGACAAAATTTTAGTCGCTAATTTCCTCGAAAAAGGAAAATGATATTACTGCCTTCCAAAACTTCGAAATATTGTCATTGTTATTTGTCTTATGAGCGATAAATCTTTTGGTTCGTCCTCACAGCTAATCCTTGTTTAAAAATGGCTACCCGTCAAACCCTGCCCCCAGGTTTTCACCATTAAATTAAAGTTTAATATTGAGAAATTAAAATTACCATTAAATTGTGTCAATATTTCTATGTATATGATAATAATTTATATTTCTTTATTTAGAGTTAATATTAAGTCTAAACAACATTAATAAAAAAAAAGTTATATGTGAAAATGTAAAATTTTAAAAAGTCAACTTTTGGTATGTTAAAATTTTTTCATGACCAATTTTGTGCCAAACATTTTAGCTCTATTTAAGCACCTTATTAAAATACATGTTTGACATAAATTTTAAAACTCAAAGTTTGTTAGTTTTTAAATTATTTGAGTAATAAATACCTCCTGGATCACACTATCCCCGGTTTCCCTTCCCAAACTATATAAAAATTGTAGCTTGTTTACTCTCCCCCCCCCCCCCAAATTAAAAACGAATATCAAAAATTATTCTAAATATCTCATTCAAGCTCAAGCTTGCCGTATTTAAGAAAATAATGTTATCAAATGTACTAGTCCAAAACACATTTTTAAAATTAAAAAAATAATCAGTGTGTTTAGAAAAATAACGATGAAATCGAACAAATCCTGCCGGAAATATATTATATTCCGACTTCTAACCAGGATTACCATGCCCCCCCCCCCATCAGCGGGAGACTCCCACAATTTTTTAGTTTACACGCAGACATCTCTCTCTAGCAAAACTACCGCATTTGAAAATCTCCTGTAAAAATCTACCGCAAATGAAAATCTCCCGCAAAAATCTACCGCAATTTTTTAATTTTATTCCGCATTTTTTTTAGTATTTTAACGTTTTAAAAATAATAATTTTGAGAGACATTAATTGATTATTTTTATATTTTTAAAATAAATTTTAAATATTTATTCGAAAAACATGTCTAGTTTGTAAATTTCTTTCTATCCTGTTTTATTTTTATACAATAAATCAACATCATTTCATTAATACAGAGTATATCAACATCGATTGAAATACAAAAATATTATCCAAAAATAATTAATAATACAGATGCAACTACAGTTGCGGAAATCGTATACACCTATCATGTAGTTCAACATTCACAGAGCTATATCTTCACAATGTGGGTCGAATCTTTTTTCCACGATATTTAACGACTCCAATATAAGTGCAAACCCTTACTTGTGGCAGAACAAAAATGAGCAAGGCTATCACGAGTGTTTTAGTACCTGAATCCTAGAGGTCAATTCTAGACGATTTGAAAGATGGTCATCCATATGCAATTCTAACAGATGCATCTAATAAGGGAAATATTAAAACATTTCCCTCGATCCTTCGCCATTTCAACAAGAATAAGAACATTTCAATAAAACTGTTAAAATTTTTTCCTCGGATAGTGAAAAATCCAACGATGTAGCTAGCCACATAATTGTAAATATAGCTGATTTAGGGTTATCAATGATTTGCATCAGCTTTCTGCGCTGATAATGCCTCTGTAAATTTTGGCAAAAACCAAAGTTACAGAATTGAGGCAGCACAATAATGAATTAATACCAATTGGCTGTATAAGTAATATACTATATAATTCTTGCAAGAAGGCAATAAATGTACTATCTGTGGATGTCGAAATAATTGTGATGAAATGTTTTAACGAATTTAGTTCATCAACTAAAAGAGTTATTGAATTAAAAGAGTTGGTGAAGTGTGGTCTGACTTGGAATGGAGTGAGTTGTTGCGATATATACCTATCAGGTGGTTGTCATTAATACCTCTCATCGATAGAATTTTAAATATTTATAAACCCTTAAAAAATACTTCTTAAATAAAGATATTAAAAGCTGTCCTAAAATTTTGAAAAATTTTTTTGAAGATGAAATGGCAGAAGCTTATTTGGGATAAGCACAACAGATGCAAAATATGTCTACGCGCATGCAAGCAATGGAACAAGCCCATCGTGAAAGATCGCCGTCAAGAACTGCGATGAACATGTAGGAAATCTACTTCATTAAATTAATATTTAATTGCAATCATTAAAAAAGATTCACAAAATCATGCTACAGTTAAAAATTGATAATAAATTTTATGGCGCTATTGCTAAAAATATTTTATTAAAATGTTCAAATAATACTCTATTTAATACATTTTTAAATGAAGCAGATATTTTTATTAAGACAATTTTTAGAATATTTACAATCAAAGTTTGATTTTAATAACTCTATTTACAAATGTATAAATATTATGACTTAAGAACAGAAACCATCAATTGATGGTTTTTATAATTTAATAAATATATTAAAAATACCGAAAGACATTGATGTCTTGTTTGAGGAGATTGTAATTCTCTCTATTTTTTATGATTTGCTAAAATACTTAAAGTTAGATGGTCTAAAAGCAGAGGAGAAATGGGTAGAAATTTTTCGTAATAACGATAAATCCCCATGCTTGGAAAAAATATGCGGGTATGTCTTCTCCTTACCTCATTCTAAAGCCTCATCCGAGCGCATTTTTAGCCCGATGAGGACTGCCTGGAAAAAGGAGAGTAATAGGATTGCTTTAACAACATTAGAGGCCGAGCTAATGGTTACACAAATATATAATATGTCATTCCAGGAATTTTATAAATACCTCAATAACAACGGTAAACATTAATTCTATTATTTAAATCTCAAATAAAATATAATTAAGTTTGAGCAATGGCGCCATAAAATTATTGACAATTTTTAACTGTAAAGATGAACACATCTGCAGCATAATTTTGTGATACTTTGTTAAGATACTGATTGCAACTACACATTAACAACATGTAGTAGATTTCCTACATGTGAAATCATTCCTAAATATACCTCTGCCATTGATTATTGGAAAAAATTTTCAAAATATTAGGACAGCTTTTATAATCTTTATTTGTGAAATATTTTTTTAAATGTTTATAAAATTTTAAAATTCTATCGATAGCGGGTATTATGAACATATCGCAACCAACATTGTGCTGACTCAATTCTGTAAATACACTCTGTTTTTACCAAATTCACTGAGGCATTATCAGATCAAAAATCTGACATGCAATTTATTGATAATCTCAAATCTGCTATATTTACCATTATATGGTTAGCTATGTCGGATTTTTAACTATTTGAGGGGGGAAAATTTAATAGTTTTATTGAAAAGACCTTAATTTTGTTGAAATAGCGATGCATCTGTTAGAATTGCATATGTATGTCCATCTTTCAAATCGTCAAGAATTGACCTCTTGGAATTAGGTCCTAAAACATTGATGATAGCCTTGCTCATTTTTGTTCTAAAAGCATAGTTATCACTTATATTAGAGTCGTTAAATATTATGGGAAAAAGATTCTACCAACATTGTGATGATAAGTATCTCTTTGAATGTTGTACTACAAGATAAGTGATTACAATTGCCGCAAATGTAGTTGCATCTGTATTATTTCTTATTTTTGGAGTACCTTATTATATATTTAAACGTAATACGTGATAAATAAGCGCCTATCCCTAAAGTTATACACACAAACGGTAGATTTCCAATTG